TCTCAATTTAAAACCTTACAATCTTAAATTTACTTTTAATCAATCAAAAGAGAAACTGGAATTTTTGGATTTGGAGATATATATTAAAAACAACAAGATAGAAACTAAAACTTTTAGAAAATCAGTCGCGTGCAATAGCTTTATCCCATATAGTAGCTTTCATAAACCCAGTTGGCTAAACAATATACCAGTTAGCCAATTCCGAAGAATCAAAAGGAACTGTTCAGAACCAGCAGTCTGTACACTACACGCAGAAGAGATGAGGTCCCATTTTCAAGTAAAAGGCTACTCTGAAGCCCAAAATTTCTACTAACCATTCGGATATCCCAACATTTATTACCAGATTTAATAATCAGTCAGGACAAATAAGAAATATTTTACAAAAAAATTGGAATATTCTTAAAGGAGACCCACAATTAGATAAAATGTTAGGCAACCAACTGCTAGTCATACATTCAAAAGCACCCAATCTAAGTACACTATTGGCTCCAACGACAAAACAAGAGAAACCGAAAGAAGGAAACTCTATAGGTGCAAAAGAGAGAGGCTTCTGGAAATGCAAAACATGCATTGCATGTAAAAATAATCCTAATCAACCAACACAAAATAAAGAATTCATGCATCCTCAAACAAAGGAAAAATTTACAATTAAAACGCATTTAAATTGTAATACCACAGGAGTAATTTATTTACTAAGCTGTCCCTGTAATAAAATATATATAGGACGCACCAAAAGAGCCCTTAAGACTAGAGTTAGTGAACACATACAGAATATCAAAAAAGGCCTTAGTGTACATAACCTTTCCAAACATTTTAACATCAAACATGAGAAAAACCCAGCAGGATTGAACTTCATGGCAATACAAAAAGTTAACATTCCATGGAGAGGTGGAGACCTAGAGAAGGAATTGGACAAAGCAGAAGCAAAGTGGATTTTTAAATTAGATACCCTAGAACCAAAAGGGTTAAATGAAGACTTTGAGCTCAATGCTTTTTTATAGTTCCTATTTTTTTTATGTTTTTTTTGTTTTTTAATCTTATCTTTTAGTATATCTCCTTATTTATTATAGCGGTTGGCTATTTTAACTTATATTTTAGTAGTCTCCTTCATAATCATCATCCCATATTGTACAACTCTTATTTTATCATCAAGTGCATTTTTTTCACTATTTATTTCTTGTACTCGTATAGAACTTAAACATCCTCTTAAAACGATTTTTTCCCATCATATTCTATCACCATCACTACAACAACAGTATTCACTAACTACCTCTTTGGCTACCAAATTAACATGCTTGCTGCCTATAGCTCATCATAGTGCTTTACGTTTAATTCTCTCTATAATCTTAAATTGAAGCACACATTCAACATATGTGCATATGTATTAATCATTGTTTTTAACACACTGAAAATTTTTAACTCATTTTGAGAATGTAAATCTTATCAATAAATAGCTTGTAAGTATTATATTTTTACATGTTTTTACATCTATAAGGTTATCTGCTTATAAGTAATTCTACATGGTTATCTGCTCAAAAGCACAACAGTTGCCGTTTGTTCAAATGTATTTTGCATTGTATTTACTATTTTTGTCAAATTGCTCATTTAATAAGATCATTGCATAAATCAGCGTATGCATTTAGGCAATCAAAGGGTTAAAAAAAAACACATCGGCTATTTAAAGGACCAATATAGTACCAGGAAAACATACTTGTTTTCCTGGCACTATAGTGCCCTGAGGGTGCCCCCACCCTCAGGGACCCCCTCCCGTCCGGCTCTGGAAAGGGGAAAAGGGTTAAAACTTACCTTTTTCCAGCGCTGGGCGGGGAGCTCTCCTCCTCCTCTCCTCCTCCGTTCCTCCCCGTAGGCTGAATGCGCACGCGCGGCAAGAGCTGCGCGCGCATTCAGCCGGTCGCATAGGAAAGCATTCATAATGCTTTCCTATGGACGCTTGCGTGCTCTCACTGTGATTTTCACAGTGAGAAGCACGCAAGAGCCTCTAGCGGCTGTCATTGAGAAACTGCTATGTTTATAAAACAATGGGTTAACCCTAGCTGGACCTGGCACTCAGACCACTTCATTAAGCTGAAGTGGTCTGGGTGCATAGAGTGGTCCTTTAAGCCGTTAGCTGCATCAGAAATCCATCCTCTGATGAAGTGAGACATATCTCATGAAACGCGTAAGGAAGAACAGTTTGTTTTCGGCACTTACCGTAAACTGATACCGAGACTGAATTGGAACGCACAGTAGGGAGAACCGTGACACGCACGCAGCCCCAGGCAGTGTCTCTGCATCTCTGGCTGGATCAAGGGACCCGTGCAACACTGCCCCTTAATGACTATACATCTTTCCATATCCACTTGGCAAGGACTGTGAGTGCATCTATATTTTAATGGATTTGTCTAATAAAAGTGTTTGTTTTTATTTTATTTAGAAAGCACTATGGATTCGTAATTTATCTTCCCATGTATCGGAAGAATAGTTAACACTCAAGTTCTTTGCCTATGATCTTGGAACCTATAGCAGATACCAGCAGTGTACCTATATATATATATATATATATATATATATATATATGCATCTTTTAAAGAAGAAATAACTTTGTGCTATATAAATAAGGCTTGTTTAGCAGATATACCCCAGTTAATTCAATAACTGAAACTAACTGCTACTAGCTTACATTGGAACCTAACACTTATACAATTGTATCCAACAAGGACTTTGTTAGCTGCTATTATTGTGGACTTTCAGGCAGCTCTCTTTATACTGAAATTTTAAATATTCAGTTTTAAACTGGATTTATTCCACTAACCAGTGACTCAAATGAACCAACTATATGATTATATCTAGGTAAGACTGTATCAACTACTACAATTGTGCATTTTTATTTAGCACTTTTTTCATCATTTTTTATATTGATTTTTATAACATTGAATTACTAACTATATTTTGTTTGTTTTACCAGTTATTCAAATAGTTATACTGCATAGGGTTGCATATAGTGTGACCAACTCACAATCTGAATACATAATAGTATTTTCTGTTTTATTACTATTGCTCCTTAAGTATATTTTGTTAAGTTTTACTTCATGTGATATTATTCCTTTATTACTCCTGGAACCCCATTAGAGTCATATCTAATATCTTATCCTCACTATCCATCAGGTTCTACCTAACGACCCCAAAGTCCCTTGCTAAGTCGCCTGCGACCTCCATGCAAAACCCAGAACGGAGCTCCAGGGCCTCCTCACCAGCAGTGTTCTCCCCACCCCCATCACCCACCGTAGAACGCCCAGATACCACGGAGTGAGAACTGAGAGCACTCATACCCACGCTGCTCACCAAGGTGGACTTCACCACGCTGGCGGACCAGCTAGGCCGCGAGGTGAGGGATGAAGTAGCACTGCTGAGAGCCGACTTCACCAACCTGGAGGCCCGCATGGATCGTTGTTGAATCCAAGACCGTAGAGCTCCAGGAAGAAGTAGACATGGCCCGCACGATAACAACCAACTGCGAAGCAGACATGGCCCACATCGCCACGTGTGTCGACGACCTGGATAACAGGAGCCGCCGGGGGGAGAGGCTAATAGACCTGCTCCAGGAAGTTTTCGCCCAAGTCCTAGGCCCACAGCAGGGGAGTAAAGTAAACATAGCACGGGTGCACAGGGCCCTCTGCCCTCCACCGCCACAACGAGCGCATAAGGGATATAATCTACTGCCTGGAGCACTACATGATCAAGGATGAGATCCTGTTTTAAACACGACCACAATTTTACAGCCATACAAGGGAAAGGGGGAACAAAAACCTATTTAAAAAAATAAATAATTTTAAAAAGTGTTGAAGGGGAGACAGGAAAATGAGGGTAGGGGGACACAGGGGGGAGGGATCTGCAATCCTGCAACAATGATAGGCGACAGCTCCACCGTCAACGAGTTATCCAGTTTTTACAGTTCAGAACTAGTAGTTACATAGAGTCACTCGACCATTCACAAACCCACCACACAGTCATATCCGAGGCCATACCCCTGGATGAGCACTAGCATCTAGACCCCCACTGCAGCTAGGGACTAGGCGCCCTGTCTGCAGGGAGAGAGAGCATTGCTACAGGGAAGGTTGGAGGTGCTGCCGGCATAATGGCTGGGTGGCGCTCGCCCAACCCTACCCACTAGGACTTCAGTCCCCCAGCCCACAAATTCCCACTGCGCATGGGCTCGCTCCATGAATACCGAACCTCCCTGACCCCTGACCCCTGACCCCGCTGCTTGACTCCCGACCCACCTGCTCCCTCCCCACCTACCCCACCCAACCCACCTACCCTACTTAACCTCACCCTCCTCCCAGATGTGGACACCACCACACCACAGCAGCAGACACAAATAAACAGACACACCAAAGCTCTACGGCTTCTCCATTCCTACCAATTAATGGACTGCTGTAGTGCACTCAACCCAACGACTCGGGACTACACCTTCTACTCCACAGCCCACGACTCGTATTCGAGACTCCACTACTTCCTGATGCCGCACTCCTCCCTGGCCCCACTGAAGGGATCAGACATACTCCCTATGACATGGTCGGACCACAACCCACTCCGCCTGTGACTGCGAGCGCCGTTATTCAGACCAAGTCATGAAGGCTGAATGAATCCATTCTTACAGACCAGCTGCGGGTCCCGAACACAAGACAGGCAATCAAGGACTACTTCCAGGTCAATGAGACACCTGACACGCACACCCTGAACTGCTGGGAGGCATACAAGATGGTAATCCGAAGCCACTTCATAACCCAATGCTCCGTGAAAAAACTGGAGGCCACCCGTGAGATGTCCACCCTAGGTAAAGCCATCGCCGACCTAGAACGGAAGCACAAACTCTGACTGGATAAACAAGTCCACAGAGACCTTCTCCTGACGAGGGGCCAACTCTCGACATTACTGAACCAAACCATCCAGCGCACTTACCAAAGGTTCTGTCACGTGATCCACGAACACGGCAATAAATGCGGGCGCCTCTTGACAACCCTACTTTGACAAACAAGGAACCAACTGTACATCCCCAAGATCAAGGATGCCGCGCAACACCTAAACCACCTCCCGGACGAGATATCACAGGTCTTCCACGACTACTACCAATCACTATACAACATAGCAACGAACCAACCAGGGACCCAACGACCAAATGGGAGGAAATCCAGAGACACCTGACTTCCGCTGATATGCATCACTTGGAGGAAGCAGAACTAGCCACCCTGGAGACACCGATCACACTGGCAAACTACTACAGGCAGTACTACAAGACGTTCAGCGAGGAACTGCTACCAAAACTACAGGCGGCCCTAAACGCCCTCCTGGAGGAGGCCAGGCCATCCCCGTAGTTCACGGCAGCCAACATTACACTGCTCCCTAAAGACGGCAGAGACCCCACCCAATTGTACATGTTACATAGAAACATAGAATGTGACGGCAGATAATTCCCCTTCCTGCTTTGCTCACTTAACAATATTACAGATACGTCTCCTGTTTCTGTGAGCAGTAGCTCCGGGAAGACACCTCACAAGACCACCATTGTCCATCTCCACACCTCTTATGATGTTAAAATTATGTTTCCAATAGATACAGTTGCAAGAAAAAGTATGTGAACCCTTTGGAATGATATGGATTTCTGCACAAATTGGTCATAAAATGTGATCTGATCATCATCTAAGTCACAACAATAGACAATCACAGTCTTCTTAAACTAATAACACACAAAGAATGAAATGTTGCCATGTTTTTATCGAACACACCATGTGAACATTCACAGTGCAGGTGGAAAAAGTATGTGAACCCTTGGATTTAATAACTGGTTGAACCTCCTTTGGCAGCAATAACTTCAACCAAACGTTTCCTGTAGTTGCAGATCAGACGTGCACAACGGTCAGGCGTAATTCTTGACCGTTCCTCTTTACAGAACTGTTTCAGTTCAGCAATATTCTTGGGATGTCTGGTGTGAATCACTTTCTTGAGGTCATGCCACATCATCTCAATCGGGTTGAGGTCAGGACTCTGACTGGGCCACTTCAGAAGGCGTATTTTCTTCAGTTTAAGCCATTCTGTTGTTGATTTACTTCTATGCTTTGGGTCATTGTCCTGTTGCAACACCCATCTTCTGTTGATCTTCAGCTGGTAGACAGATGACCTTAAGTTCTCCTGCAAAATGTCTTGATAAACTTGGGAATTCATTTTTCTTTTGATGATAGCAATCCGTCCAGGCCCTGACGCAGCAAAGCAGTCCCAAACCATGATGCCCCCACCACCATACTTCACAGATGGGATGAGGTTTTGATGTTGGTGTGCTGTGCCTTTTTTGCCACACATAGTGTTGTGTGTTTCTTCCAAACAACTCAACTTTGGTTTCATCTGTCCACAGAATATTTTGCCAGTACTGCTGTGGAACATCCAGGTGCTCTTGTGCAAACTGTAAACGTGCAGCAATGTTTTGTTTGGACAGCAGTGGCTTCCTCTGTGGTATCCTCCCATGAAATCCATTCTTGTTTAGTGTTTTACGTATTGTAGATTCGCTAACAGGGATGTTAGCATTTGCCAGTGACTTTTGTAAGTCTTTAGCTGACACTCTAGGATTCTTCTTCACCTCATTGGGCAGTCTGCGCTGTGCTCTTGCAGTCATCTTTACAGGATGGCCACTCCTAGGGAGAGTAGCAGCAGTGCTGAACTTTCTCCATTTTTAGACAATTTGTCTTACCGTGGACTGATGAACAGCAAGGCTTTTGGATATACTTTTATAACCCTTTCCAGCTTTATGCAAGTCAACAATTCTTAATCGTAGGTCTTCTGAGAGCTCTTTTGTGCAATGCATCATTCACATCAGGCAATGCTTCTTGTGAAAAGTAACCCAGAACTGGTGTGTGTTTTTTATAAGGCAGGGCAGTTGTAACCAACACCTCCAATCTCATCTCATTGATTGGACTCCAATTGGCTGACTTCTCACTCCAATTAGCTCTTGGAGATGTCATTAGTCTAGGGGTTCACATACAAGGTTTTAAAAGGGTTACTTTGGCCAAAAACTGTGGTTTCTTTGGTTGGTGTGACTCTTTAACACTACATCTAGTCTAAAAAAGAATGATTCAAGACATTGAGCTACCTGATTCCAAAGACAAAATGTATCTAATTTTAACTGAAATCCAGGACCCCTGCAATCCCCCAAATTCATTATATAATGACATCATATATCTATAGTTCTATGTTTAGCCAGATGATAAACTGATGGGAATTTCCTTCCCTTCTCATCCAGTACTACTAATGCTTGGAAATGCCCCAATAACTCAAGAAGATGGCTGCTATGCAGTTGCCACCCCACCCCAGTGTTATCTGGGTCTAGTACACTCACTAAGCCTGTTCAAATTGAATATGAAAGTCTAGCATGTGGTCACAATAAAACAGACATGATTTAAAAACGTTTGCTTTGCAGGCTAGATAATTTAATGTAAATAACTATGTGCACAATACATTTTGTTTAGAGAAATGTTATAATAGAACCAGCCACTTCAATAGCATATATGGCTCATCTGAAATCTCCAAGGTAATTCTGAGACCATTCCGAATGATCTGGTAAATGTATCTTAATGAGTTAATAATCCTTAGTGAAGTACCCTGGGAGGAAAAGTGCCCATTAGAACTGTATCCCTCACTTGTTCGGTCCATGGAGAAAATGGCTGAGTGCATCAATATAAATAAGCAGAGCAAAATGTGCACCCAGTACAAACGCTATAAGTGCAGACAAAAGTGCGTTAAAATTACATTGATAATCCAGACGCAGATAAGCAGTTTGATACATTAGTATGCTCGGTAGTTAATCTGTAACTTAATAAAACAGTGTATTAATGCTGAATGGAGCTCATCCTTGTGCATGTTATGGAACTGGACGACATCCAGAAAGTTCGTAAAGCACAATACTTATTTATTGGGTCATAAGATTACCCTCATGCTTGAGATTGCAATTTTAATATAAATTCCTGATATAAAATGGTTGCTTTGTACAGACATATCTTACCTTGTTTTCATTCATTGCTAGTGATGTCCCGAACGGTTCGCCGAACGGTTCGCCACGGACGGCGAACATATGCGCTGTTCGGTCCGCCCCCTATGTCATCATTGAGTAAACTTTGACCCTGTACCTCACAGTCAGCAGACACATTCCAGCCAATCAGCAGCAGACCCTCCCTCCCAGACCCTCCCACCTCCTGGACAGCATCCGTTTTACATTCATTGTGAAGCTGCATTCTTAGTGAGCTGTCCAGGAGGTGGGAGGGTCTGCTGCTGATTGGCTGGAATGTGTCTGCTGACTGTGAGGTACAGGGTCAAAGTTTACTCAATGATGACGAATAGGGGGCGGACTGAACAGCACATATGTTCGCTGTCCATGGCGAACCTTTCGGCGAACCGTTCGGGACATCACTATTCATTGCCTGTTACCATTTAGGCTCAATAACAGCAAGCATGATGGCAACTCAAATATTTTCATGTTGATGGAATAAGATAATGTTTAAAAAAAACTCAGCTGAAAGAGATGAACGCATAAAAAACAGTATATTGTTTCAATTTTTCTAGAAGGATATCAAAGAGAAATAGGTCAAATTGGAGATTATGCTGATTTAGACTGCATTTCAACTCATGCTTTGCCAGCATTACAGCTGTAAGAGTATGTAGTCCACAACATCTAAGGTGGCGAAGTTGCCTACCTTTGGTTTAGAACTACAGATACAAGAATACTCTAAGGCAAGCCGAAATCAAATAACCAGGAATCAATACAAGGAAATTACACACTCTCAGATTCACCGCAAAGGAAACCACTACACGGCAAAGCTAGCACAGAGAGGAGGGCAAATAGCCCTAGAAAACCATTGACTCGTCTGTGTTATTCCTGTAATGCCAAATGGAGCATAGGAGGGTCGTCACAGAAATGACACGAGTAGGCTTGCGCTGGAAATAATCCTAGGGTATCTGGAGTCATGAAAGCACGTAAAAGAGCATAGAGCATCCAAAATAGCATTGATCCAAAAATGACATCAGAGCGATGCACTGATGTCACCGTGACACATACAACTGAATGGATCATAGTAGTCAAGTCTTCTATGCAAGCTTCCTGTCATATCTAGTCTACCCATGCCATACTCTGAACATATATAGACCATCAGCAACATTCCATATGCTGCTAAAGTGCAAGTATTGTACTCCTGATGAAGAATCCTGAGAAGACTCACATTATCTCTAGGCCTACTTCTGCATAGTGAATCCAAGTCTAAGAAAACGAAACATGAACCTATTGTGTTTATGGGACATGCATTACTTTACAATTATTTTTTAAAACAGCAAGAAAACAATTTTCAAAAAATGCACAAACCATAATAAAGCAATAAATACTTTGAAAAGTATGTAATAAAATTACTATAAACTTCAAATTGCATTGTCCGACACGCTTTTACAGCTAGGAGAGTTTCTTCAGCCTTACCTCCCAATCTCAATTTCAGACCAGATCACTAATGACAGACACAGTGCATAATTGTGCAGCAGAATAGAGAAACCCAATACCAGAGCCTGCTCTGCATGATCACACTGATCAGGATGTTACAAGGTGAAAAGATCTTCCAGCTGCACGTGAGTAAATCTTTCAGGCATGCCCAATGCACTTTTTTTTAGCATTCCTAGGGATAGGGCATTGATGGGTTAAATCAGAGTGCCCCCTGTATTGGGAGTGGAAGGCATAAGAAAGAAAAAGCAGGTAAACATGAAAAAAATCATTGTAACCAGCATTTTTTAGCCTGAAGATTGATGCAACCGTCTCACTCAAATCTAAGGCTTTGGAATGAAACAAATAAAACAGTTGTCTCAAAGTGATGCATGTCCCTTTAATAATATACCTAATTAGAATCTATATTATAGGATTTATAACAGAGTTTTATTAAATAATATTTTTAAACTATATAAATTACAATTCTACATTTGCTTGTATGATCTCAATATTAACAGCCTTAGATCTAGCATCTAGAATTGTCTTTGACAATTTCAGAGTTTTGTCCACCCATTCTGGGCTACTTTCCTGGTGTCCTGCATCTGGAGACACCAGGGAAATGTATGCTGTTATAGACCGAGGGTTGCAGGGTAAGGCTTCCTCTTGCATGGGTGTGAATTTTACAAGGGGCATTCATTGGTTGAGGCTGTTTGAATTATATGGACAAAATGGAGATGATTGCTTGTTTTGGTGGGGCTGAGAGTTGTTTTCAGTGAGATTTATGGGCAGTGGTGTATTTTCGATTTCCTTATCTAAAATTACCCCACTCCTTCCTGCCAACGCCACACCTCATTCTGTTTAAGACCA